TATATATATATATATATATATATATATATATATATATATACGATAATAATTTCGCATTATTTAAATACCTTTCCTCACGATCGCCGGAATCTATGTAGTCATAAAAATGTGGTTCCTCAGGATATTTCGACGTATCCCAAGTATGAATTTTATGTATCCATTTGGACCACCGCGCCCATCGCGCCCAGAATTTCGATACTTCTTTGGTACCGTCTGTATCCTGTTTTTTTTTTTAATTCGGATATTATTTACGTGGTATAGAATACGACACCTATAGAACATGCCTAATGTATGTCTGGTTTTCGTAAAAGACGTACCCAAGTTTTCATAGGGATCGTTCTGAATCTCTTTGTGGGTAGTTTTAGACTCATTATTTCGGCGTATTGCACTTTGATTTTCCAAGGTATATGTAATTTTAAGAAATACGTTTTTCCGTCAAACGAGCTCTCTTTTGGCTCGAGCTCTAGTTGCAGACCTTCTTTCAAAAGATTCTGTTGAAATACTCGTCTCTGTTCTCGCCGACGAGCTTCTAATTCAGTCATTACTCCTTCGTTCTCTTCCTGGTAGACTAACACTATATCGATTCTTCGTTGGCCGTCGCTAAAATTAAATCGAGTCGATTAATAAATAATTAATCGCGAAACATTAAAAAAGGTGAACCAATTTTGATAACAATGCTTCGTCTCGCATATGCATGTTTTATATTGAGTAGTTTCTAAAAATAAGGCACCTCCGAAATAAACGCCCTTCGCATTTTCTATCCCCGAGTTGGTCTTTCCCCTTGTGCATCAAGTAACGATAAAAAAATGATAAGACAATCGCTAACATTCTAGATAATTGTATTAAGCTTGTAATAATAGAAACGAGAAACGGAGTGCCTATGTCCGTCTATATATATATATATGTATATGTTTCGTCACTTAATTGTCTAAAGCGCAAACGAGGGTGAACCAAAATAACTCGTGACATATCGCCGTGGTAGACAATTACTCACCGAAAATAAAGTAGTTCGGGATCGATTCCCGTTTCTTTCGGCGGCAACGAATCCCCGGTGGTTTCGGCGAAATCCAGCGAAACTGGCGTTTCCGGTAGCGAAGGGTTAATTTCCGGAGAGGTGGGTGCCGTGAGTTTGGGACCTTGCTCAGTTTCAACAGAATTATTATATCTTTAGTACGCGTTTGCGGCTCATTTTGCGTTGACGTAACCGCGTTAACATTTGTCTAATAATATCGTTGGAAATGCCGCGGCGTTTACTACTGGCAAATTATAGCGAAAATTAATAACAGCGTATACATACATATTGTAAATGTTCTTTAAGCCCCATTGCGCGCGATTTGCTTCACCTTGAAAGCATCCTTACAATAATATCTATAATTTCGCGGCATAGTTTCGCAAAAGTAGGACGGTATTACGAAAAAGAGCAAAAAGTTAGTAACCAGGAAGTTAGAGCGCGCATTCGTACGGTGATAAAGCCAAGTCAAACGTTGCATTATTAATATCCGATATTCGTGACACGTTGACATTCATACGCATATTGATCGAGGTTTACTGACATAGCTTTATTGCTGTTATAGACAACCGCGGGTTTCCACGAGAGACTCGTTTTATTCTTTCTATACATCTATACATATATGTCGCGTAGGTCGTATGTCGTATCGAGCACCCAGCTTATGTGTCTAACAAATTCCGTATTATTAAAACGTTATATAACGCGATTGTAGGTAAAATTAACTTTCCCATATTGTCGAGCAAACGTGGAATCTCATGCCTCACGTGGTTAAAGCTCGGAGAAACTGGAAACCGTTGACATCGAGATCGTTCGATATCGAACGTACCGCGTCAGCCGTGCATCGGCCTTGAAATTAAATCCCGCCGTTGCTTATAGCGCGTGGTTCGATTAAACACTAAATTAATTCTTACCGAAGGCATCCTGCGCGATTAAATTCGTTCCAGATGGATACACCGCGCTGGCTCTCGACAATTTTCTCTTGACACTCGCCGGCGTTTCACCGGGCAGCGAGCCGTTTTTGTCGGGCTCACAAATGATGTCTCTATTGGAGTAGACGGACGAGATCAATTCCGCAGATTTCGGCGCATTGCGAGACCCATTGTAGGTCCTGGCCGATTTGGCCGAGGACGCGCGAGAGCTGTTTCCAGAGCCGCTCGATTTCTCGTCGTTGAATTGATGCTCGACTGGGCTATTATCGTCGGGATGAAGAAAAGTGCCCCAACTGCTAGGCCTTCGAACGTGGTGGTTTGGCTAAAATTATTCAGACAAAGCTTACAGAGCTTTTCCAATGGATCATCATTACCTCCACTAGCTCGTGTGTCCTATTCATATCCTGCTCGTTTCGGTCATAAAAAATGTCGCAAAAAGTCATATTATCGGTGCTTTAATCTGATAATGGAATCGGTGTGTGGTGACGCACACGGTGCGAGCAAAAGACAGAAATTAGTTTGCGAAGAATAAAATGGAGCAGAGGATCGATATCTTAATCACCTTTAAACATAAAAAATCAACATGAGTTCTCGCTAACGAAAAAGTGTACTAAACCAGCGAAAAAGGAACAGCGTATTACGGTAATTACACCAGTAATTAGACTCGACGAGATAGATTCGAGATAATGAGTACTTTAGGCCTTGCCCCTTGATGAGATGACAGATGCAGATATCGATCCGAGTTGTTTAGAATGTTTAGATGTATTATTAAGATACGTGCATCCTTTCCGTTTAGATGACGATCACTTACAATTAGATATTCTCGAAGCGCGAACGTAAACTCGTAAACACGTAAATGTTTCGCGATATCATTCATTTTTCATTTTAATTCTCTATATACATATATGTGCTCGTGCTACACACTTCGGGGATGTAGTACTTGGCATATTTATATATATGTATATTACTAAGCGATAACTCACTATGAGAAATATTCTCACATGCGCGGGATGCAAAACCGATTTTTGGAACGGTGCTAAGTATACCTGGCTGTCATCGTCTACTTGCAGCTTCTTATCATCCATGTCGATCTCTTCGTGTTTCTTTTAATTAAGTACGTTCGCGAAGACCGGAAGACTTCCGATGGACAGTGTTCGGAGCAGTGGTCGATTGGTCCGATAACATTTTTTCTCTTGTCGAAAACAACGATTTTTCACGGTGATTGTTCCAAAACGATCATTTACCGATCAGCGCGTGACGCGCGACGAATCGAGAAGCGCTCTTAATTTCCCACAAGAATCATTTCGGGACGGAATTTGATATTTCCGTAACGCCCGTAGCGCCGTTTAGATATCCGTCGAAACGCTACCGCAGACACTTCCGGCGAGCTTCCTTGATCACGTCTGATAGTTAATCGCGCAGTTAAGAAAACGAGCATTGATCAGTGTCGATAGCTTGGTCGCGGCGGTGACCTCGCATCGGTTGAACAGTCGTTCAATTATCAATGGAGCACGAATCAACCTCGCTCGAAGAAACGCGGTGGTGCGGTCAACGTTTTGGTTTTGTACTCGAAATGCCCTTATAGAGGTACGAGAGAGAAGACACTTGAAAGAAGCCTCGTTCATTTAATCACCTCGAAGATGTTTTTATGCGGAACATGATCGTTGGTATCGAGTGCATTTGCTACTTTACGGATTCGACACATTTAGATTAATCGTTTTTACACATTGTTATTCACTATTTGCCTTCGTTATTCCTTCAACTTGTCATTTTTCAATATCCTCGAGTTTTAACAATACTTTTCAAAATTACTATTAAAATTTTATTTACTTTTTCTCCTTTATATCTCTCTTTAAATCTCTGGTTGTGACGAGCAGCTAACTCGACGATTTCGGAATTAAAATAGATTTCGGATTTGAATACTGAAGTACGCGCGCGTTCGTTATATCTTTTGGTCTTTTTTAACTGTTGGAGAACACGAATTAGCGTGAACAAATCGTCCTCGATCGAATCGTCCTCGATTCGCGACGGTGGTGTGAGATGTACTGACCACAGAGGACAACAGGATACTTATATATCGCGTACATATCGCACGTATGTCCCTTATCTACGTGATCGCACACATTCTACGAAGGTGTACATGTGCATTACCTTCGCCTTCGGGGGAGGGGGGGGGCGAAGATTTCACCCATCGCGGGGGTGGAAATGGCCGAGCGGTGGAATGTCGAGGCTTTCAGAATTGCTATGGTTACCCGATGGACACAACATATGTGTTACATATGTCGCATTAAACGCATCATCGACTCTTCCTTTAAGCTTGAACTTGAAGCGTTGGCTTCGCGGACCATATAGACGGCATAAAAACGCGCATGATCTACGCCATTCTATATACGCGACGTTCGTGTTTGCCCTTTTGTCACGCGCAAATATTAATAAACCGAAGGTTACTCCTTCACGTTGGAATATCTCTTCACTTATTAGGAAATTATTGCATTTGTATTTCAATCATTGAGTGCTTGTTTGAGCAAACCTACATTATTTTCCTGTCTCGATTACTATCGGGAGTATCGGCGGAATTAGATCTGAATAATGAGACGCGTATATACAAAGATTCTTGAGTTTCAATCAATATCAAAGATTTATTATAGACTTTTTTCAAAAAACTTTATTCAAAATCTATGAGCAAAAACGATTATCTGATGAGATCGCTCATAGAGCGATACTAAAATCAATATTTTACAAAAATTGACAAAAGTGAAAAATTTAAATATATT